ATTTAGCCTTGGAAATGATAATACAAAAATCACCTAGGACAGACAAAAAGATATATTAAAAATTACACTACTACTTCAAGCATATTTACATTTATTTGGCTGAGGGTTTGGGCATTTGCATTAACATAATCAGTTACACATATTTGATCAAGTCCACCAAAAAAATAAATAAACTGAGAATTGAGAAATTTACTCAAACTGTTGAGTCATTGAATTTAACACTATCATATCACTTGAAAATTTGTGAATGGGAGGGGCATAAGGAGAATAGAAACCAATGCATCCCTCGGATGCCTAAAATCACTCAAAGTTAGCCAAAGTATATAATACAGATGCTATTTCTTGCATTTTTATTTGAATGATCTCTTGGAAATTTCTACTTCAAATCCCTTACTATACTACCATAACCACTATTTCACACCTCTATTTTTTAAAAGGGCTACACAGAAGAGAGGGAATGGAGATTTATCAATTATTGAGAAAATGGAGGTGGAAGACAACCAACACCTACCAGTAAGGCTCTTTGACACCCACATCCATATAATCCACCAGAGACTGTTATTTGATCAAAAATAAGTATATTTTCTGGCTTATTTCACTAGATTTAATTCAATCTTTGCTATATTTTTTTTAAAAAATTTTAATGTTTATTTATTATTGAGAGAGAGAGAGAGAACACAAGCAGGGGAGGGGCAGAGAGAAATGAAGACACAGAATCCGAAGCAGACTCCAGGCTCTGAGCTGTCAGCCCAGAGCCCAGCGTGGGGCTTGAACTCAAGAGCCTTGAGTTTCAGCCTGAGCTGAATTCTGACGCTCAATCTACTGAACCACTTAGCCGCCCCTCAACCTTTGCTTTACATAAATAGAACTTGCCTAACTAAACAGAATTTTTAAACAAGGGTTGTGGCTAAATAACACAACTTAAACAGTGTACAGTTTCTAAGATTTTCTTTTGGAGTTACTAGACCAATCCATTTTTACCTTCTGTACCTAAATGCAACTTTATTACAATCTGAGAAATATAATGCATTTAATATAAGGCCAGGGAGTTATAGAAGCTACTTAAAATAAGAAACCTAAGTTTCACCTAGCTTTTACAGTAACTAAGGCAGGTATTTTATACAGGGAACGATAGCTCAGGAATACATCTCTCAGCGGAGTTGTTAATATCTATTCCTATGGTATACAATAAGATGCATTCATTCTTCATTAGCTCTTTTTGGTAAGGACACAATATTATTTGCTTAGGAAATGAACCAGAAGTCGTTATTTGATCTTATTATTTTCTGAAATCACCAGGCCAAGTCATATGACTTGGACTCATAATGTAGGAGATCACCTAAGGCCTTGCTCCTCACAGTGTGAACCACAGACCAGCAGCATTAGCATAACCTTTGAGTGTGTTCAAAATGCAAATGTTCCCACCCACCCTAGGCCTACTGAATCAGTATCTTCAATTTGACAAGATCCTCAGGTGATTCATATACAGATTAAATTTGAGAAGCACAGGTCTAGATTAGAGGTTCTTCAAGTGTGATCCTCAACCAGCAGCATCAGCCTCACCTGTGAGTTGGTAAAAAAACGATAATTCATCAATCCAACTCTAGGCCTACTGTACTTTAACAGGTTCTCCAGGTGGTCCTTATGCACATTATAGTTCGAGAAACACTGACCTAGATCATTAAATTCTGATTTTGTTGGAAATATTTTCTATGTACCAAGCCCTCCTGCTACCTGCTTCTTTTTCACACCTACTAGAAAGAGAATTCTTCTAACACAATCCTTTCTATTCTATAATAGAAAGGGGGGGGGGCAGGAAAGCTTGTATATTTGGCTGTTCTTGGAAAGGCCTAGAATCCCATCAAACATTTACAACAATTTGAGGATAGGTTTCCCTATTTGAGTTTGTTATTATGCCAGCATCATTCCTATTATCTCAACAGATACCATGAACGTCTCCTGGCCACATTCACTTATTTTTACTTTCTCACACATGAGCACGCACATGCACACAAACACACCATTCAAAAAACGGAGGTACTGATTATGTAGCAAGTAGTCATATTAGTTACATATTTAGTAGTTACTGTCTTCCCCTTAAGAGAAGAAAGAACGCCCAATACCAGAACAAATTGGCAAAAGCAGAACTTCACAATCATGCACATTTTTAAAGCCACAAAAAAAAAATGTGTTAAAGCCAATGGCCTCCTAAACAGTACAGATTAACTCAGTTCTCCTGTGGCCATCTTTGGTCTCTTGGCAAGAAACTGAGGTAGTCCCATTTTTACCATCAATCTAGTTCAGGGATCACCTTCTCTATGAAGCCTTCCAGTCCCTCCGGGGCAAAATTAGAAGCCCCTCCTCTGACTTCCCATAGAAATGTTGGTGTGCATTTATCAGAACCCTTGTTGTGTTGTGTTGTTAACTTTGGTTTACTGCCTCAATCGCCAGACTATGAATATATTAAAGGTCTGGAACTTTATCTTTCGTCTCTGAATAACTGATAGTAAGGATGGTCAGGCTCTTCAGTTGGTTCTCCATAAATATCTCTGATGGAACAAATGAGTAAATGAATGAAACTATCATGGCAAAAAGAATATATCCTTTCAAAGCATAAGAGCTCTAACAACAATGGAAACATCAGGCATCTGAAATAATTACAAATCTTGCATTCCTTCTTAGGTTAAGAGTGCTAGAATCTTGTTTGTTTTGTGCCCATGTAGTCCCTAAACAGTTTAAATGACTTGCCCAGATTTATATAGCATGATATTAAAAAATCAGTCAAATATCTTTTTGGTTTTTCCATTGGCCAACACTGTTACTTCAAAGACCGTGAATGAACCCAATTATGTGCCTTTCACGCTTAAATAATTATGAAAATTATATTGGATTTCACCTGAGCCATCACATTACTTGTTACATATTTTAGAACTGTAAAACATGTTTTTCATTCTGCATCATCACTTGTAAGCCTCAAAATTCTTACTATTGGAAATAGATTTTCTCCTGTCTGCTTTAGGGTAACATTGAAACACTTCCAGATCTCATTTCACCTTAAAAGTCCTCTTCCTTTTTCAATACCTGTGCTTGACTCCCCTTAATGTTAAAGTTGTGTGCACACACTAGTGAGACAGAAGACAACTTAACACTGCTTGGGAGGATTTCTTTCTTATGCTTTGGTCCCAAACAAGTACATGTGATATTGGATGACCTTCTGCTCCAGACTTCAGCCACTTACACAGTGGCTTCCTTTTCATAGATGTAGCAAAGAAGAGTTTAGGCCTCAAACCTTTGAAGTGGAGCATCAGTAATTTACCATATGAGCAATGAACAATCCCAAAGATCTCTGGGGCCAGAAAATCAACATTATTAACAGTACTATGCTCTTACCCCAAAATTACCCTCGTCCACACTTTAGCTTTCCAAATGTATTTTAGTTACAGAAGGCTAGTCAAGTGCCATATTTGAAGAAGTGAAGATAAACAGGGATACAAGAAAAAGACAAAAGTGGTCGCAGTAAAGACAATAATATAAACAAACACCTTATGAATATAACCTATCATACGCTTATTTACTTGGTTTCTTACTGAGAACATTTGTATAATTCTCTTGTACAGGTGACAAAATCAGTTCATGAAACACCATTCCCGGGACTAGAAAAATTTTTCAGGGCAAATATATTCAAAATGTGCTCACTGAGCTAAAAGAAATGCAGACTCTGTGTGTGTGTGTGTGTGTGTGTGTGTGTGTGTGTGTGTGTGTGTTTGCATGCGTGTGTTCTGCCAACTAAATATGTGATTTTGAGATACTTCAAGGGAAAATATATTATTTCTGTATGTCTTCCCCACCTACATACTACAAAATGACTACATAGATGTCATGTCAAAGCCATAATAATTTCTTAACTACATGGAGGGAGATATGAAAAGAACGAATACTGAAAGATGTCTTAAGCCTCAGGGCTGTCAAATACTGATTTATAGTAAATTTCTACCAAAACAAGTCTGAAGTAAACAGATATTAATTTTGCATTAAAAATATCTTATTCATTCAGATCATGGCAAAGATAATTTGTAAAATGAGAGACCTAGAATATATAATCCTATACATCTTTGATTCCATGGAATGTATTAATGATTATTCAGATTCTTACCCAAAGTGAAACAATGACACTATAATACAGGAGGAAAACAAGTTTCTGTAACATTGTGAATAACAGTGCCATTGTAATATCTGAATTTATTTTGCTTTAAATACAAATATTAACTTATTCTTGTTGTTTGTAAAACACCATAAGAAGAAAAAAATGGGAAAAAAAAAACCTTAATGGATAACTAAAGAGCTCTGTATGCTAAATTCAATTCAGGTTTAATTTTGAACAGAAATCTTTTAATGTGTATTTGGTTAAGGATATGTGATCTGGTCACAAACAATGAATGGCCTAGGATGTAAGACACAGCTGTGAGTTTTAAAACTACAACTTAGAGAATTTTAATGTCTTAAATTTATCACTGTCTGTGATTTTACAATAGTCCCATAATCTACTTTAATAATAGCACATGCTTTTTATTATTTTGTGAAGTCTCAACCCCACCCTTCAAGGAAATCAGATTTCAGAAGTTCTCACACAAGTCAAAACCCTCCAACATGAAATTTATAATCAAAGACTCAGCCCAGAAATAAATGTAAATTCTGTTCAAGTAAAGTATCTCTCTCTCTCTTAAATGTTCTCACATATCAAATCACTGCATTCATCCCTATGTATTATTTCTGCTATAAAAATATCAGTGTGCTTTTGGAAAGGTTTTTACTCTTACAAAATTATTGAGATGTCTACCTGAAAATCAATGGTAGGTTTGGTGACATAATTACTCTAATTCTCAAAAGCCAGGCATTCATAAATGTGGAGCTATGTCTTTTCCTGGTGGTAAAGTTCAGGATTTGCTAATTGGTACAATCAGAGAGCAATAGTTTCAAGGCTGCTGCAGCAGTATGCTTACCTAAATTGATGCACAAGCTAGGTCCATGACGAGAAGCACTCATTTACCCATAAAAACTGAGAAATGATATTGCCCAGTAATCAATTTGCGTAGGCAGTTGTTCATAGATGTGTCTCTGATCCATGCACTAAAAAGCAGAGCCATGTAGTATCTTATTTCTTCACCCTCCAAAGGAAAAGTCAGAAAACAAATCACAGAGAAGGGACTCAGAAAACACAAGAGCTGTATCTTCAGCCCACATAAGCTTATTATATGGTTGTACAGTTATAAGAATTATATCAGTAAAGCACCTAAATAGACATTTCACTTGAAAGTAAGAAAATATAGAGCCCTATAATAAAAATAAAGACTTTGCAAGCCAGTGTTAGTTTCCTGTTTCCAAGTTCATGAAAGAGATTATAAATAGCATGTACTTTTTAACATGCACAGTCTATAGCTTTCAAAAATAATATTAGATAGAGTATACAATACATTTATTTAGTTATTGCTTACAGCAAGATAAATATCTGTCATTTTATCTATACTTCTACCCATAACTAGAAACTATGACAACCCCCCTTCACTGTATTTGTATTATTAAAGATTTTGTAAGGCTACCATAGCTATATTTACATATGTACAACTTGAGGTGCATGGGAAAAAGCAAGTAATCAAGAGCTTCAATTTGGTGTCTTAAGAATTGTCCTCCATTCTATTATCCTGCGATTGTGTTCAGAGCTCGAGAATTTAAAATGGGGGAAAAAAACACCCTCATATAGCAATCACCATTTTTCCTGTAATCAAGTCCATACTTCTTTTCATATTCTTTCACTGGATTGCTTTTCTCTGTTTATTGTTGTTGCTAAACAAGGTGAGAGTTTAGACGACATTTTTCAGTGATGATTTCTTTTGCAATAACAAAATCTTAAATGCAGTCTCTCTTTTCCTCCTGCTATATGCTATCAAATTCATCTTTGTATGGAAGGCACAAACTAAAATGAGTAAATTGCCCTTAGTAGGTAGTACTCTTTTCCAGACACTAGGAAGTAAATTGTCAAAGAGTTACATAGGGTTTTAGCCGCATGATTCCCATTGACTTTAATGGGAGCTGCACGGAAAACACCCCATGCAAAGCTTAGAAAAGTAGGGGTTAGTTTTGCTTATGATCTCCACTATATTTTATACCCTCTAGCCCCGAACATTCTCTCTTCACATACCTCTCTGTTCTCCCCTTTCCCTGTCCTACCCCTAAATGGATATAAATCTAAGGTCATTTCATTTAGCTATCTGTGTACATAGCTACTCAACATACTCCACCCCTAACACCATATCCAAGTCTCGCAGTGAAACATCTCTTTCTCCAACCCCCAACTCCAAACCACCCAATGTCCAGTTTACATGGATAGCTAGAGAAAAATGTGTTTTTCATGTTTTTAAGGATTATTATAATATTAACAGTATTTTTTAAATTTGTACTGTGTTTCAAGTGATATCAAAATTGCCTAAATTAGATTCTTTCCTCCATCTTAAAAAGTGCCTATGTAGTATTACCACTTTCACTATTATTTACATTCAAAGTAGTTTTAGTATTTTCTGAAAGTTCCCTTAAAGCACAAATATATAAGCTACTGGGAAATACACGAGGCATTGTAAGGCAGTTATCATAGCCACTTAAGTAGCAGTTAGCTAAAGTGTTTCATAGTACAACTAGTGAACAACATAATAGATACCATGATGTTAGATACTGGCAGAATGGGTACAAGTTTCTATCATGTCTGGGGAATGAAGGACACTCTTGTCTCTGTGATAGAGACAGCAATACCACAATTGCCTTATGTCACTCTTATATAATACATTGCAACACACACACACACACACACACACACACACACACACACCCTATGGGATTGTTCTAATTCCCTAGCAAGTTTTGATTGTGGAGAGAGCCAAACTAGGCTAGCTTTGAGCTAGATTTTTATGAGTGTTTGGTTCTGTATAGAATGCACAAAAGGCCCAATCTTCGTGCCTACCACTTTTTTCATTACTGTGGCATTAATTACAAAGTAAGATGCCAAGTAATTGGCAAGGGGAACACTACTTGCTTATTTATCGGATACCTTTATCCTATGCCCCTGGCTTCTCTCCTTTACTGCACTTTTATAATAGATTACCAGAGTAGCAATGTAAAGAGTAAAGGGTCTTTCCTTTGCACATTTATAACCCAACTTACCTTGAATTCTTTGTCTTATTTCAAATCACACCAGTAAGAAACGGTTTGCACTTAGCCACATATTAATCAACACACAATATACACACATACGTCTAAAACAAAGCAGAGTATGTTCTGCTAAAAGCAACTGGTTTACTACCAAAAATCTTTCCAGTTCATTCTTACACCTATGGATTCATTATTTCTAGGAAACACTGTGGGAGTGTGCCATAAAATATCAGACAAACAGCGAACATCCTGAAATCTTCTCAACACAGAGTACCTCAAAAACATACCAGAACATACTTTTTCTCAATTTGTTGTCTTATTTGTCCCCAGTTATCATCAATTACTACTGTTCTGTCTCTGTGTTGATCATGACAAAAGATATGTTTTTCATAAAATAACACGTTTGGACATAACGAGAACGTCGGTTCCCATCTTTCCCGTTGCCGCATAGCACGTCTCGTGCTGTACAGGCGCAGTTGGCTGTCCAAGGACCCTGATGCCAAATTGCGGAGGATATTCTTGTCGCAGTGACAAATTGCTTGCTGGTGGGCTGTGCAGAGTGTTGTTCTGGCAGCATCAGAGTTGTCTACGTGTCTGTCACTTGGTTAGGCTGCTTCAACGCTAGGTGATTTCATCCCCACCCCCCCCCTCCCCTCTCCTTTTCCTTCAATGCGATTTTTCAGACTTACCTTCGCTTCCCAGTGAGTGGGGGCTTAACTTTCACTTGACAATGAGCCTATGGAAAAGCCTCCCAAGCTCTCCGTACAGGTATCTGTAGGGTGAGAGAAGGATTTTTTTCACTGTGCCATACTTGTTTTCCATACAAACCTACAGGCTGCCATTACAGCCACCCACATCCCTGTTGGCAACGCACTTATGCAGCGAGCGCCTTAATGAATCCAGACAAAACTGCACAGCATTCCTGACACACAAGAAAATCATGCATTTTAATGGTATTGCAGGGTAATTTATTTCTTCAGTCTGTAAAATGTTGATGGTCAATGTTATTTGATAACATTTCAGCAAAAAGATTATTTTGCTTTTGATTTGACGCTTATTTTTAAAACGTAAAAGATTTTTTTTTAAATTCCTTACATTAAGTATATTTCTTCAGCGAGGATCTGCTTTAAAAACAAAAAAGGGCAGAAATGTAAACGAGTAGACAATATTCTGTAAACAAATTAGCTTGTAAACATACTGCAGGCAATCCCAAGTGTCTGCTGACTACCTATGAAGGTATATAATTTAATGCCTCCAGATAATTTGTGGGTAAAGTCTAACCGGTTGACATTTTGAGATAAATAATAAATAATACTCCTATTTCATTACAGAGTTTATAATTAAGTATAAACGTAAAGGCATTTAAAAAAAACTATAACTACAGGAGATACAGTATTGTAAGATTGTTTTGTATAACTGAAAAGGATAATGTAATGATGTAGGAGGCCTTTTTTATTCTATGGAATGACAGATTTTTTTCCATGAAACATATTCTGCAGCAAGGGGCTATTATTTAAGACTCGAGGATGTATAAAAGAAGCTAATGGATTTTTCACAAAGGATAATATACAATGAAATAATTCTAAAAGGAAACGAAGGAGCTTTTAATCTTGTGTAAGAAAATGTTTGTTTTTGCTCCTCTCATATATAAATGTATTTGTTAGTTTTATTGTTAAAACTGTAGCCTTGAATCAAGTAGATGTAACGTTCTTCTAAATACTTTAATATGGAGATAGTTGATAAGATTTTTCCCCAAGAAATAGACATAAATGGAGATCTACCGAAGATCTCACATACATCAATTACAAGCAGTAATAATAAACGTGCAAGGAGGGGAATTTGGAGGAAGACTAAAATACATTTTAAGTTTCGACTCTCAGGACTAAATAGAGGTAAAATTTTCAGTTTGAAGTGATATTTAAGTTAGCTTGTTTTTATCATGACTCTTGATAGAAGTTAAGCAGCCCTGTGCACTACATGGGTATTTCCAAACTAAACTTATCAAATTATCTTTCCCAGACACTTTTATGTTTTGTTTTATTCTCCAAAACCTGGCAGCACAAATGTTCTAGCCTTTATCACTTAGAAGCATCCAGTATGAGGCTATTGATCCTAAAATTGCTGGGGTTTTCTAAGAAGGCTGCTTGTTGGATCTGCACTGTTTTCACTGAAGTGGTTAAAGCTTTGTTTGTTTGTTTTGTTCTGAATGGCTCTTAATGGATTAAGCTTTAGGCTTTCACCAAAGCAGTAACTGATTGTAAAAGTAGCAAGGAATAAACTAACCACAGGGTGTATGTGTGTGTGCATGTGTGCATGCGTGTGCTGCCAGAGCACAGTAAATTATGATCTATAAATTCTGAAGCTAGTAAAAATGTATGTTAAACAAAATATTTCTTACTATATATCTTTCATAAGCCTATCCTGTGGAAATTGCTATGAATTACATTAGCCGATACCTACAATGGATTATCTCTATTTAATCAAGTAATTGAATTAAACTATATAATGACCCATAGCTCTTGAGAGAGATATTAATTACAACTGCAAGATCACATCTTACTATGAAATTAACATGCCATTGTGTTTTGATCCTAGAGCAGCTTTTCATAATTTTACCAATAATATTCAAGATGGTGATTCCAAGTTATATAAACCTTTAAAGCTATTACTAGAACTTTAAGTAATATATGCACTTGTCTTCATAATATTATGCTGTGGTTCTGGACTTGTATAATTAGGTTTCAGCTTGAGTGTGATATTAAGTAGAGGATTAATAACTTGATGAGTAAAGAAACACCCATATTTGGAGAAACAGATGGAAATGCATGAACTTATATGACTATTTTATACAGTGCCAGCTCCTCTCTAAGACAAGGACCTTATTCAAGGTCTCATTACCAATGCATGGTGATTCGAAGAGCTAAATACTCAACTCAAAAAATAAAATTACATTGTACAACTCTTTCAACGGGTGTGATAGACAACGCACTACAGATTACGTTCAAGTCACTCCTCCAGTTCTTCAGGAATGGCATACACTGCCACTCTTGAGTACCCCCTAGCCATTGCAAATAGAGGGTGATTCCATCTGGCAGAGTATGACTAACTGCTCTTGGATTTGCTGGGGAATATTTTTTTTCCAATGGGCAAATCATGAAAATCTAGAAGAAATGGACTAAAATAAAATGGCTTCTGCTTCAGTTTCAAATAACCCAAGATTCTTTAGTCAAAGTCTACCAAAATGACAGTCCTTTGGCAAATTTTCAACATGGCTGTTCCAGAGAGATGCAACACTGCACCTGGGCCTCTCTGAATGTCATACTTGGAATATTGCATTTTGGAAGTCTACCATGTTAGAAAGAATGAAGAAATACCTTAGATATGGAATTAAAAACCCTCCATTCTACCTCTAGAATCTCTCAGATATGAATATTGTATTTCATACTTGCACATATAAGTGCAAATGAACAGTTTGTTTCACTTCTTACAACATTAGCTCACTTCACTACATCTCATATATAAAAGAACAGCAAAAAGTTCTCTTTCTCATAAATACCACGCACAAAAGATCTGAAATCTTGGAGGAAGTTTCTAATTTCCATCTCCTACTTGTAATAAATGCAATGAATTGAATTGAATTGAATTGCAAAGGGGGGCTATATTAAAGGAAATGCATAAGCTTCAAAATGAGAGTGCATTTATCGTATAGAGAGAACCATCGATTGTGCTATAATGCTCGTGTAGTCTTTGTAATTTTCAAAATCCCATTCAAAGTGCTGATATTCTGGTGACAGAGCTAACTGCCACTGTAACTCCAGAGCCTAGCATTAAGAGAAGGGATTCCAATGAGTGCAATAAAAAAGAAGGCAATTTTTCCCCTTGCATGTAATATTCTAAAATTAAGGTATGGAAAGTATTATAAAACCTCAATGAATACTGTTAGTGAACGACTAATTTGCTAATTGCGTGACACCCAAAAGCCAAATGTACTTAATATTTATATAGGAAAAGATGATGCATTTATAAAAAGCAAGGCTGCTGTGTCATAATCATTTCTTGAGGCATTGTACCAAAATAATAAGGGCAGGGGGTTATAAAGGAAAGGGGACCTCCCCCCCTTTCTTTCCTTTTTAAGAGCAGGGATACCTCTATTTGGCCTAATGCACATTTATTTCTAACACCCTGTCAAGAGCAAAACAAACAAGCTGGGTCTACAGAGGCTTTAGGGCCTCCTTTTGGTTGCGCCCATGTTTCTTACCATATTTTCCAATATTCCTTCATTTCACTTTCTCCATTAGTATTTTATCTTCCCTACTCACACTGTCATGGTCCACATTCTCCCGGCATTTCTCCTAGTCTTCTCTTGTCATTCCTTTGTCATAGAGAGAAGAGGAGGGGCACTGAGGACTGACATGGCCCGGACACACCCCTAATCTTCTTCCCTGTTTACACCACCACCTGCAAATGAGGAGGAAACTTTCCAGAGTTTGAATGAAAAGCTTTGGCCTCTCCTATAGTCAGGGATGCACGATGCGGAAATAGTAGTTGTTAACCAGGCTGAACCATTAAAAAGATCACACACGACAGGGTGGCTTTGAAAATCTGAGGAATTTTGGCCATACCAGGTTAACTAAATGGGAAGCCAATAAATCAGGTGAACTTTCCTGACCACCCCCCCAGACATCCAAAAACTCAAGTTTATACAGAACTTTAAAGAGGTGGGTTATGAAGACTTTTTTTTTAATTCCTTAAGGATGAAAGAGTACTTGGCACACTGGCAATACTTCATCTGAGAGCAGAAACATGTTTGCATTTTGAAAATAAAGCAAAAAAAAAAAAATCCTGAACTGATTATCAATAAGTTGATTTCAAAAGTGTTCCAATTTCAGATATTACATTAGAGAGATGAAGCACCACTTGAATGTATGCAAAAAATATGATCCCCAGGTTTTCACTGCATTCTTAGAATAGAAAGAAGAACACAATTAAAAGTAGGATATAGAAGGATTAGGTTAAAAACTGGAAGTACAGTCCAAGTCTAAGATACTGATAATCCTACATAAGATAGCTCCTACAAGAAGAGCATGGGTAAAGGTGAAAGGTTTATAAAATGTACCTGATTTTTAGATCACAGAAACGATGTATACATATAGGTTTCTGTAGCTCGAAAAAATATCTTATGCAGGAAGAACTTTCCTTTCACTAATTTGAACTGTGCAATATGGCAGGAAGGAATTTCAAAGGAGATATTTATATATTTATTTGAATGTTTACTGCCAGGCGTTGCCTTCTCATTTTATCCTCAGCATTTTGAATGAAACTGCTAACCTACCTCCAAGAAGTTCTAAGGGCTTGCCCCTTTATGTATATTCAGAATGTTTGACGTTCTAGAAATAGATTAGTATTTCCAAATATCTCAGAGGTGATACAACTTCTTTACATTTGTGTGTATATGGGTATGTGTATACCGTTTACTCAGTGATTACAGTCTGCCATAATGCTTCATTGAGATCACATTTTTATTGTATTAATTTAATAGAGGGTAGATTTTTGTTACAATAATCTAGGAGATAGGCAGACAGCAAAGAGATCATGTATCTACAGATGGATATAGGTATGAACACAGAGAGTGACAGAACTTCAGTAGAAGTCAAGAGGATCAGTTTTGGCATGGAATTATTTTCTGCTGTAGGTGAGTGAGGATCTCTAGGTCTTATTTCCCTTTAAACTAACCGTATGTGATAACTGTTATCTATTTTTTAAGCAGTCATGAACCAAAATAGTTTTTCCTGGTTTTTCATGGTTATACAGGACTTAAATACCA